GGGGGGGAGTACAGTCGCACAGCAGAACGCGTGCGGAAGGAAGTAGGAGAGAGATATGGAGGACAGCGCCGCCAGCAGCAGGGATGGTGGAGGGGGATCATTATGCAATCTGTCTACGCACAAATTTGGGGATTCCGCATTATTCGCGATGTTCGCGGGTCCAAAGCCGGAGCAGCGCCGCCGCCATTACCGCCCCGCAGATAATTTCGACACAATAAGCCGCTGGGGCCGTTATTATCGGGAAATAAAAAAGAGAGAGAGAGAGAGAGAGAGAGAGAGAGAGAGAGAAAGAGTGAGCGAGCGAGGGAGCGAGAGAGAGAGTGTGCATCGGTAATGGGTGTATGGCACACGGTAAGGCCAGAGGCGCTGTCAGTCGTCACTGAGAACGCAAACACACGTCAGCGTCGAGGCAGGAGAGAGATAGAGAGACGGGGGAGCGAGGGAGACGTGGGGAGCGAGATAGACAACGGCCGCATGTACAGGACTCTTTATGATCTGTCTGAAAAGGGGAAGCGTTATTCATCGAGCAGGAGGGAAGGGCAAAAGAGGGGGGTTCAGAGAAACGGATCGAGCGAGGGAGAGAGCGAGAGAGAGAGAGAGGGAGAGATATGGTGAAGGGTTGGTCCAGGCCCCCTAGCCCGCCCTCCTGTCGACGGCACAGTATACGTCCCGTCCAACCCCGCGAGAGACAGAGGGCCCAGCCTCGCAGACGTCATGCGAGCAGACAATAACCACGCCGAGTGCGGACGAGTGGAGCGGACGGGAGGGTTGAGGGTTGGGTGCCGAACGGGGGGCTGAGAGTCCGCAAGAGTACGCCAGTGGCACGCGGCAGATATTTTCGCCGGGCTTGGCGTATTTAATGGCATTAGGGGGTGCCTACCAAATGCGACAGGTGAGCCCTCGCGGGTGAGCCGACCCGGCCCCCTCTCCAACCAGGTGTGTGATATCTCGCTGACAGCCGTACTCTTTACACTCCCCCCCCCCCTTTCCGCCCCACTCCCAGTCCCTGCGTCGCCCCTGCGCCCCTCCAAGCTGTCACGCAGGCTGTTGGCCTTTACCGTCGCGAGGGGAGGGACCGCGGGAGGGACAGGCGCCGCACCGACGGACGATGGCGGCGCGCTGGAGCATTTTGAGCGGCGCGTCGTCCGCGGATAAACAGGATTTCCTTGTTTCAGGAAGGGACGCGGCAAAAAGCAGCAGCAATCTAAATAAGTTATGATCCGATGAGACTCACCGGCGAGGACGGGAGTGCCGTTCTTGCGCAGCTCGCTGACCACGGTGCTGTAACTGTAGAAGGGGAACGGCTCGTGGTAGTAGTTGCACTTGGAGTCGAGCAGGTGCGCCATGTCGCCGTTGGCCCCCGCGGGCGGCAGGGACACGCCACTGCCGCCGTGGCTGCCGCCGTTGGAGAGCAGCGTCGACTTCTGGCCGCCGCCGCCCGCCCCGGCCGTCGCCACCAGGTAGCTCTTGTGCTCGAAGTCCTTGACGACGCCGTACGAGCCGGCGAAGCTGGGCGCCTTCTTGAGGCTGCTCAGGTGGTGGCCCTGGTACTGGTGGTGGTGGTGCGCCGACGAGGACGTCGTCTTGGAGATGAGCGCCCCGAGGAAGCCCTTGCGGTGCCGGCTGCGCGTGTACACCAGGAACACGGCCACCAGCAGGATGATGACGACGGCCATCAGGATGCCGATGATAACGGCGACGTACGTCGTGTCCTCCTTCTCCACGGCCGAGATGGGGGTCTCGGGGTGCCGCGGCGGTGGCGCCGGCGGCAGGGCTGCCGACTCGGGCAGGTCCGAGGACGACGATGACGACGCGCCCTGCTGGACGGGAGGCAGCACCTTGCTGTTGACCACCCTCTCGACGTAGATGTCGTCCTGGACGCGGTCGGCCGGCGGGGCCACCGCGTCCGGGATGTGGTTGTCGTCGGTGAAGTTGCCGCTCGCAACGAACGAGTTGAACGAGATCTCCGAGATGAGCATCCACTTGGCGGAGAAGTGGAGGCGCAGCTTGACGAAGCGGCCCACCCGGTGGTGCAGCTTGATGGACACGTTGCGCGAGCTCTCGAAGATGCGGTCCTCCATGGTCGTGAACGTGATGGGCTGGCCGGGGAAGTGCTCGCCGCTCACGCTGAACATGATCTGGGCCTCGGAGAACACCTGGAACAAAGAGACAGAGGCGAACGGTCAAGTAATGCAGGTCGGTCCAGGGGTATTACAGCTAAACATGTACAATGAACATCCCCTTTGAATGGGAGTGCAGATAGAAGAGCGAGAGAGCGAGAGAGCGAGAGAGCGCGTGAGCGAGAGAGCGAGAGAGCGAGAGAGCGAGAGAGCGAGAGAGCGAGATAGCGAGAGAGCGAGAGAGTGAGAGGGAGGGCGAGCGAGGGAGAGAGAAAGCGTTTATGGCGGGCGCCGCCCCGCCCCCCGCTTGCTTTCGCTTAGAGGAAAGAGTAATTGGCGAAGCAAGGCCGAATCCAACAGGTCGTCGCCAAAAGAGCGGCCCCCGCGCACAATAATCACCACAATAACTGGGAAAACGGGCGAACGGGCGAAGCGCGCGAGGCGAGGGGCCCAAATGAACCGACGGCGGTGGCGGCGCCAACGGCGCACCATCACGCTGCAATCGCACATCGCGCGAGTAATAGTGGCGGGAATAATGGAGGGAGCAACGGGAACGACAGACAAACAATGTTTATCCTTCCGAAATCGGCGGCGGCGGCGGCGGTGGCGAGACGGGCGAGGAGGAGTGCGCCTGCCTCACGCTGTGTGCCATAAACTCTGAGCAAACTATTCGAGTAATTAGTAATTACACACGGAGCGTCTTGAGGAGCGCCCCCGCAGAAGACGCGCACACATACACACACTGTCTATCAGCAGCACCCCACCCCTTCCCCTTTGGAGACGAGGGGGCGACTCGCTGGCAAGTTGTTCGATCAGATCATGTTTAAATCATTGTTAGTGGTTTGTTTTTGTTGAAGGTGCTGGGCGGATGAGGTCCGCAGCAGCGCGCAGGGCGGGCAGGTGGTTGTTGGGGCGACATAACAACGTTACGGCTGCGAATGGAAAGGCGAGCCAGGGCGCGCAAGTGCGTCAGTTTCCGTGCGAGGTCTTTCTGTGCGCGCCCCGCCCCGGCCGCACCGCCGTGGCCCAGCCCAGGTAAGGGCCGACGGCACGGGGCGCACGGCACGGCACGGCACGGCACGGCACGGCGGCGATCTCCGACTGCTTCCCGCGCCGCACTCGCTGCTGCTGTCTTACAACTCCCATTTTTCTCTCCCGCCCGCCCGCCGGCCGCACGGCGCCCTTACCTCCATCTCCACGGACCCATTTACGCGCCCCTTCCGCGGACTGGGCGGGGCTGGGCTAGAGAGAGCGGCGCAAGCAAGCGGCGGCGGCGGCAACAGCGTTCGAATTCAGAGGCCGTTACTCGCGCCCAGTTGGGCCTTAACTTGCGCCGGCGAGCCGCGGGAGAGGGGAGGAGTGAGGGGGAGGGGCAGTAACGTGTAAACGCCCCACCTCACCTCCCCTCGCCTACCGCCCTGGTCCGGGCCGGCAGCCCTCCGGGGGCATAACTAACGCGCCGGGTTCAATTACTGGCCGCACCTGTTTCGCGCGCCAGCACCCGGAAGGAGGAGAGAGAGAGAGAGAGAGTTTTTAGTTTAGCAATCGATTTATTGGGGGGATTT